TTTCCCTCGTACCCCAGACATTACTGGTTTTGGATTTCTTCCCTGGGAGGAGTTTGTTCCTTTCAACTGACTCTAAAATATATTTGTCTGTCCTGCCCCCTTCACCTGACAATCCTTGTCTGTACAGAATGGAGTAAAAAATCAGGGAGTTACCCAAAACCCTAGCCAAAATCATACTGTGTCCAGGAGGCCGATATTATGCAGTCTGCTCCTGTGTTCTCACGGGCCCTTCTCACTGTCCCCAGTACTACAAGCCATTGGCGATTGTGGTAATCTTTGCAGGGAAGAGAGTAAATCAGAAAGAAGTAGTGTCGTCCACACAGACATACACGGGCAGCAGTCTTTTGTAGGTGACTGGCCCGGAGCAGGTGAGAAGACACAGTGGAAACAAGGACCTCTGAGTCACTGCATTCTAATCTGAGATTTTGCCAGAGAGACCGTGTACACCTCAGGAGACCCTAAGGTGACTTTGGTACCGTGTCCCAGTGCCAACAGTGATCCTCATGCGACCTTGAGTCAGGAAGAGGTTGTTTAAAGAAGAGAAGTGGTATTGTAGAAATAACTCTGTCCAACACGAGCGTATTAATAAGAAACTCAGTGCTCTGGGTGCTTACAGTACGCCAGGCGTGTGCGCTGCGTGTGGGGCCAATGTTTGCTCATAAATCCAAATTCTTGCTCCACATAGCTCCCATCCTCACGTACAGACGAGAATTGTAGAGAGGCTAAATAGCCTTTTTTAAGGGACCAGCAGTTAGTGTAATGGCTATGTCGCTGGACTCCCATGTAGTCGACCGTGGTTCAAGTCCCGGACCAGGTAGCTTAAACTCACTCCGGGCACGTGTGCGTGTGTGCCCAAGATCCCAAGAGGAGAATGGAGGAGAAGGGATTGTGGCATGGCCGTCCCCTCTGGGGGGTGATTTCTCGTTTTCTATCTCTCTGTATCTCTCTGTTTATCTGGCGAGTGCACGCACCCTATAAGAAAAAAAAACTCTTCAAAAAAAAAAAATAACCCTTTTTAAGCTACATGGCTGTGATGTGGAAAGGCTAAGATTTCATGTGTTATATTCCAAAGCATGTTTTCCCAGACTACCATGAAAAGCTTTGTTTATAGGGGTAAGTTTAAATGGAGAATTAACTTACATATAATGTTATGTAACCCACAATTCTATATAGTTTGAAGCTCTATATTTCATCTGGGGGATAAGTGATCTCTAATTAGAAGGCAGGAAAATCTGGTATGTATTTTGTATAGTGTTGTTTTCCCTAAAACAAAGACTTCTGGGTGACTCATCATAGCACTGTATATTTTGTGTGATTTAAATAGTTTTCCCATAAATTATTTTGAGGGTCTTACAAAATATCTCAAGAAACTTATTTCCAGGACAAGTAATAATACTCCTATTCAATATTAGACTCAGGAGGTCAGAAATTTGTGGAAGATTGCAGAGATAATCAAGAATAAAATTGAGTCCAGATGCCAGGTTTTCAGATATTTTCCGCTATTTCTGTAACATCATGTCTTCAGTTACTGCTGTTCTATTCATGACATACAAAATATGTATCTTATAATAATAATTGTCATGATCATGTTTGAAGTAGTACTTTATCATTTGTAAAAGCTATTAATGACTCAATTTTCACTCTGTTCATTTCCCCTATAAGTATAATTCAAACCAGGAGTTGGATTTAGGTTAAACTTATGAAAAATATCAGAGAGTACAGTTAAATAGTTGCAGTTATTGGCAGGTAAGAACTTCCAGAAGTTTGAGGCAGTCTTTGTCAGGCATTCCAAACATCCTTCAGCCTCAGTTTCTGCTACAAATATGTGGTTTCTTTATTAACTGTATTTTTATTGAGACTTTTGATGGAAACAAATTTCTGAAAATTACATGAAGGAAAATATCTCTGACTAAAGAAAATAACTTGAGTGAAAAGTATTGAGATTTTCGTTTAGAAACAAAATATGCGTAGAAATCGTAGCTTTAAATTCCCATAGGGTAGAGGGCTTGCTGACGGGCCCTTTGCGGTGGTACTTGGAACTGCGTGTCACAGGCCCTGAGCCCAGATTCTCTTCCCGAGAGATTAGCAGGGACCCACACTTACCCAGCCCTCCTAGGGGCTCAGCATTGTCCCGAGCCATTGCTCTGTCAGCCACGCCAGGCCACTGTGGCTCAGGGTTTGTTCGCAGTGAGTGCTAGCGTACCCTGACTTTTAATGTGTCTTTTTCAAAAATCATCATCTTCATTTCCCGTAGTGATTTTTTTTTTCTTTTTTAAATTTTGGAGCGTACAGTTCCTTATTTCCCGCAGCATCTGACAGCCAGCCGTTCCTTTTTTATTTATTTATTTTTTGGTTAGAGATCTGTGTGTCGTGGCCATCCTGTATGTTTGGGCTCATGATTAAGTTGATGTAAATAAACGGATTTGTCTGAATCAGACTTCCTGTGCATCTCAGCGTAGGGTGGAGTTTCTGTTACCTCGTTAGTTTTGAGGAAAAGCTGATCTGCAGTCCTGGCGCCCTGGAAGCAGGGTGTCCGGTGGCTCACGCCCTGCCGTACCTGAACGCCTCCAGTGTGTGCACGCTCCCGTCAGTTTCTTCATGTATCCTGACACATCTTCAGTTGGAGCTCTCATTAGGTTATTTTTGTCTTGTTTTTGTTTTTTCTTCTGTGGTGAGAGAGACAGAGATACAGGTCTCTCATCAGGGTCCTGACACCGCAGTCCATTCTCTGCCACAGCCAGCCCCAGATTCTGGGTCCACAGGTGCTCAGCATCCATGGAAAGGTCTCCACACATAGATCCAAAACTTGCCCACATGGATCAGCCTCATAGAATTTTGATTTTGCCACTGTACCTTCTGACCTGTCTTGCTAGTGTTTTTTTTTTTTTTTGAGAGAGGTTTTTTTTGTTTTGTTTTGTTTTGCTGTAGGGTGCATTTGCTTTCCAGAGAGATAGAGAGAGATAGAAAGTGAGAAGTCACCCACTCCAGGGGGATGGCCATGCTGCAATCCCTTCTCCTCCATTCCCCCTCAGGATCTTGGGCACGCACGTGCTCTGTGCGAGTATAAGCCACCAGGTCTGGGACTCGAACCATGGTCGACTACATGGGAGTCCAGTGACGTAGCCATTACGCCATCTGCTGGTCTCCTGTCTTGCTAGTTTTTAAGTAAATCATTCCAGGAATGAATTATCTTGAATTATCTGTTCCATCTGTGTCATTTCTTAGGCTTTCTTTGAGATTTTTTTTTTTTTTTTTTTTTTTTTTTAGTGCTTATCACCTTAAAATTTTAAGAACAAACTAAGACACACTTTGTATCTTTTTTTTTTTTTCTACCCTCTTTATTGTCTGGCCTCCCTATAAGTGGAAAATAAATACCACAGCACATTACACTAAAGACTAAGCAGTTTCTGGTGGAAAAGTAGATACGCAGTCTGTGTTCTTGCAGTTGCACACGTAGCTCGTCAGTGGGATTTTAGAAGCAGTGAATGAAGAAGGGGTAAAGCAGACAGATCATAGGCAGAGATATTTTCTAACAGTGAAATGTACCTGCCATAGAGGAGGTGTCATGACAAACTACAGAAAACATGAATTAAGGAGCTGCAGCACTGTCTCTGAACCCTTAGAAGGGGGGATACCCACCTGAGCTTGGACCCTTCTTCATCTCCCACTTGATAAACTAAAAAATACATTATGGAAAAAGGATGATCAATTTTTATCTGCATATGTCCTGAATTTTTTTCTCGTAGTCCAACTGTTAAAAACCATAAACTGGGGAACCAGCAGTTAGCGTAATGATATGCTGCTGGACTCCCACGTAGTCGACCGCGGTTTGCGTCCCGGACCCGGTGGCTTAAAACTCACACTGGGCGCGTGTGCGTGCGTGCCCAAGATCCCGAGAGGTGATAAACTAAAAAATACATTATGGAAAAAGGATGATCAATTTTTATCTGCATATGTCCTGAATTTTTTTCTCGTAGTCCAACTGTTAAAAACCATAAACTGGGGAACCAGCAGTTAGCGTAATGGTATGCTGCTGGACTCCCACGTAGTCGACCGCGGTTTGCGTCCCGGACCCGGTGGCTTAAAACTCACACTGGGCGCGTGTGCGTGCGTGCCCAAGATCCCGAGAGGAGAATGGAGGAGAAGGGATTGCGGCGTGACCATCCCCCCTGGGGGGTGATTTCTCGCTTTCTGACTCTATGTCTCTCTCTGTCTGTCTGGCGAGCGCACGCGCCCTATAGCAAAAACCTCTCCCCCCCAAAAAAAAACACAAAAAACCATAAACTGAACACTGCAACCCAAGATATGTATAAGCCCCTTCAAACCTCTTCAGTTTCACAACCGTGTTTAGTGGATTGAAGATACATGTAAAGCTTCACCTTAGTTTTACTAGTAAAAAAATATATTGCATTTAGGCCTAGTGATTTAAAAATATATTTACAAAGAGCTTAGTTAAAATAGCTTTTTTTCTTTTCGTTTTATTACCACAAACTACTTTAATCCCCCCTTCCTCCCTCCCTTTCTTCTTCCAGGTTCGCATGGCTCTGAAAAAGGCCGAGAAGGAGTTTGAGCTGAGAAGCAGCTGGTCTGTTCCCGATGCACTTCAGAAGTGGCTTCAGTTAACCCACGAAGTCGAAGTCCAGTACTACAATATTAAAAGGCAGAATGCTGAGATGCAGTTAGCGATCGCCAAGGACGAGGTACTGTGTCGCGGTTTACATTTTGCTCCATTTGTCCCCTAGGCGGTATTCTAAAGGGAGTCATCAGCCGGGGTACAGAGTTATTGTTGCAGATACTTTTCTCGAATTGGCACTTGTGTGAATTGATTTTTGTAATCGTAGGCTTTCAAATGAAATGACTGTATTTAGAAATGGATAGACCTTTCAAGATGACCTCAGTGTCAGTTACAAATCACAATCACCATTATACATGTTTTATACAGAGCTTCTCTCCTCTAGGTTGCTGCTTCATGTCTGATTCAGGTTAGTAGTTACTAGAAATTAATGTCTGACACTTATTAAATTGTGTGGAATAAGATGAAATCTTAGTCTGAGTTCTAGCAAAAATAAAAAAAGTGTTCCATTCACTCACTAACACCTCCATCGCACTAGGGTATAGTTAATGTTTTTCTGTCAGTTTTAATCCATTCATACCTTCTCAACCATAGCAGGGAAAAACTCTTCAGAATAAAATGCGAATTACATCGATTGACCTAGGCAAGCATGCTTTCTCCCCCACGTGTTTTGTGTTTTGGAAAAGAGCGCTTTCTCCTGGCTACTAAGTCTCCACTGGTTTTATGATTATTAGCCTATTCAAAACCGAAGTAAATATTATTCATCCCTGTCTGCCGTTCCTCGGACCTCACCTTATTTTTTTTCCTCCTTGGGCTTCTAGGCAGAAAAAATTAAAAAGAAGAGGAGTACGGTCTTCGGGACCCTGCACGTGGCACATAGCTCGTCCCTCGATGAGGTCGACCACAAAATTCTGGAAGCCAAGTAAGAATGCAGTCGAGGGCTCTGTTCGTAGGCCGTGTTGGCATAAGTAGTGTATCAACTGTTTTAGAATTATCAGTCACTTTCAGTAACATAATTTATACTAATTTTAATACTCGGGTCATTTCTTCTTGAGTTTACTTCATGGCCGTGGCCTGTTCATCCCACTGACTGTTGGCGGTGCCATATTAAAGACTCTTTGATGCAACAAGTAATTCCTACCTTGGCTTCTCCAGGAAAGCGCTCTCTGAGTTGACGACGTGTTTGCGAGAACGACTTTTTCGCTGGCAGCAGATTGAGAAGATCTGTGGCTTTCAGATAGCCCATAACTCGGGACTGCCCAGCCTGACCTCGTCCCTGTATTCCGATCACAGCTGGGTGGTGATGCCCAGAGTCTCCATTCCACCCTATCCAATCGCTGGAGGGGTTGACGACTTAGATGAAGACACACCCCCAATAGTGTCACAATTTCCCGGTAAGTAAGTGGTCAGTTCAACACAAAGCAGAATGGCTTTGAAGTAACTCTCTACCATGCGAATAGGAATTATGTATTTTTATTATTTTAAAATTTGTAACAGACACACTTTGTATCTTTTTAAAAATTTGCTATAGTGCATGTGTGCTCGCCAGAGAGAGAGAGAGAGAGCGAGAGAGAGAGAGAGAGAGAGGAAGAGAAAGCAAGCTGCCAGGTCCAGGACTCAAACCATGTCAGCTATATGAGAATCCAGCGACTTAACCACCATGCCACCTGCTGGCCCTGGAATCATGTATTTTTAAACATACAACAAAAATTTTGTTCATCCTTCATTTTTTATTTTCAGTTGATAATGGTTAAAGCGTTTACCGTTTGAGAAGCTGCAATCTGTGAATAATATAGCTTACATAATGTATGTACATGGACTTTTTATTGCCAGAGGGCACAGGTGCTCACCAGAAAGAGTGAGCGAGAAAAAGAGAGGAAAGCATCCGTTCTCTGCCGTGCGGAGGGGTCACATTGCTGTCCGCTTCCCCGTGGGGATTTGGCACGCGCACACACATGCACCAGGGCTGGGATTCCACCTGAGGCTGGCCGTGTGGGCTCCGCCTCCCATGCCCAACCACTGACCACTGTGCCCTGCGGACTGCCTCACACGTATTTTTAAGAAACCTGAATGATTGATTACTTTGTTTAATCGACAGATGTTTATTTCAGCAAGTGTTATCTACAACTCATTATAGGAAGCGTTGAGTATAGGACCTTGGTTTTAAAGCATTGCTTATAATTGAAGTGAGGAAATCACACCAAAACATAATCGATGGTAAAAATGGGACCTTATAAATGCCGCATCATTGTATGAATGAAGTTCTGAACTTCTAGAGAAAATATCCCTTTAATTGGCAGCTTAATGTATAATATGATGCAAAGAACAATTAGGGGAAGATCCTGGAAACCCAGGTTTGAATCCTAACTCAGCCACTAACCAACTGTGGACTTTGAGCCAGTCTTTGGTCTGTTTTAAATTGAGTTGCCGTCACCAATTTTTTTTTGTTTTGTTTTTCAATTCTGTGTTAATATTACCCTGCTGTGCTTCAGTTCAGTAAGTTCTGAACCAATTTATCTTTAAATGAAATTAAACTGTTTATGTGTAGAAAAAATTATATATTGTTTGTGGCTAGAAAGTGGAACCCCTTCCAGTGATTTATTTTTGTAGGCACAGTTTTCATTGTATTACTATGGAATGTTTTATTCTCTAAGACTTTTTTTTTTTGGAGAGGTTTTTGCCATAGGGCGTGTGCTCTGGCCAGACAGAGAGAGACAGAGAGACAGAAAGCGAGAAATCACCCCCAAGGGGGGATGGCCACGCCACAATCCCTTCTCCTCCATTCTCCTCTCAGGATCTTGGGCATGCACGCACACGTGCCCGGCGTGAGTTTAAGCCACTGGGTCCAGGACTTGAACCGCGGTCGACTACGTGGGAGTCCAGTGATATAGCCATTATGCTAACTGCTGTTCCCTCTCTGAGACTTTCTACATTGTCAGAATACATTTCAGTAGGAAGGTGAAATTTAAGTATTTCTGATTTGGTTGTTTTTGCAAAGTTACTAAGACTTTGAATATAAATGGTGTCTTTCTTATAAATCACTTGAAAAACTCTTTAATCCTTATTATTGTCTGCTTGACCTGTTTTTCCCATCTTCGTGACCTTTTTGTCTTTTTTTTTTTTTTTTTTTTTGGAGAGGTTTTTGCTATAGGGCACGTGCACTTGCTAGAGAGACAGAAAGCGGGAAATCACCCCCCAGGGGGGATGGCCACACTGCAGTCCCTTCTCTTCCATTTTCCTCTTGGGGTTTTGGGCACGCATGCACATGGACTCGGTGTGAGTTTAAGCCACCAGGTCCTGGACTCAAACCGTGGTCGACTACATGGGAGTCCAGCGACATAACCATTACGTCAACTGCTGGTCCTGTGACCTTTTTTGAATCCCTGTTGATAGAATAGTGTTCCAAAGGATGGCAAATAGAATTTAGTTCTTACCTGGTTGAAATTGAGATGGGAATTTTAGTCTTTGAGATCAGTTACATCATGGTATATGAGCATATTCCAGTTGAGATTTTTCTACCCAATTGCTATAGCGTTCTCGAAGTTGTGATTTAGAATGGTTTCTAATTTTTAAAGCAGTTTTAGAAGTGAAGTCCTTAATTTACGAATTCTCAGCCAGTGACTCTGTGTCATATTATTTCTGTGGCTGTGATTCTCTGGCTCAATGGCAGACAGCTGTTGTAAGGAGAGCACAGAAGCAGTGAGCTCTTGGAGGAGGCAGGCGGCGAGATGGGCTGTAAGTGCAGGAACTCGAGCACGTGAGCTCAGTCCTCCCACTTGCCCTGCGCTCCGAGGTAGCGATGGTCGCAGTTATATTTAGATATGCACCAGCTCTCCAGTCGGACCCTGCTGTCAGTTTGTGCTCGTGGATTTGAATTCTGTATCTACAGCTTGCCGAGTGCAGTACCGATTCATAAATACATACTTTTTTCTTTGAAAGCTGTAACTTTGAAAGTTGTGAATCCCCCTTACAATCCAAAATTACTCATAATCAGAGTTGTCCATGAAGGTGCGTTCTCTAGATTAACTAGGGCTTTTTTTTCTTTTGAAAAATCGCTTTCTTTTCAGTGTGTATGTGTGTGCAAATATTCATATGGCCGTTAAGGAAAACACTTTGCATAAATGAGAATAATTATCTTAGTTTTAAGTGATTGTATTAGGTTACCTAGAAAGTGATGGCAAATTTTCCAATGTTTCTCTGTGTGAAAATGCACCATGACTTTCCTGACAACCCAATAATGTAGAGAACAATTTGAATTCTCAGCTATGAAAAAAATAGAAGACTTAGTTTAGTATGTTTTAGAAATGCTGTGATAAAATTTTTTTCTTAATAAAACCACTCAGGGGGCCGGCAGGTGGCACGGTGGTTAAGGGCACTGGACTCCCACATGGCCGACCACGGTTTGAGTCCTGGACCTGGCAGCTTGCTTTCTCAGTTTCCCTCTCTCACTCTCTCTTGCTCTCGCTCTCTTGCTCTGTCCTTCTCTGGTCAAATTAAAAAAAAGAAAAAAGCACTAATACAGTTAAATAAAATAATTCTTTAAAAATTGAAAGCACTCATGCTGAAGATTACAGTTGGAGAACTCTGTCTCCACCCAGTGGCTCTGCAGCAGTACTTCACCCTGCTTAACCATAGAGCTCGTTTCTGGACGTACCGAAAGGGATGCTCATGGCAGCAAGGGGACGAGTAAAGAGTAAGATGAAGGTTCTTCATTTTCAGACTCTCCTGGGATGTTTAATTTTTTTTTCCTTTTGCCATGGGTATGTGTAAATTTTCTTAGTCTGAAGTGATGACACGGCCGCGTGTCTGTGGTGTGTTAAGAGTACAGTAAAAGACTTTTATAACACAACACAGAGTACAGGATTATACTGCATGTGTTTAAGTACATGTGAAGAGAAGGTCACGGAAATGCCCACGGGGTTTGGGAACAGAGGTAGGGCTGTCTACTTTTGTGCCCTGCGGACACCACTGCGGCAGGTTTCCTCACCTGGGTCTCCTCGTGCAGAACGGTCGAGTGTCTCTGTCCAGAGACCTAGCAGAGGCTGTTAGGACTTCGGGAAAGAGCCGTGCCAGATTACTCGCAGACGATTCTGTCTGTTAATGTCTCCCTTGTTCATAGGAGTGCCTAGGGTCCAGCAGGTGGCATGGAGGTTAAGGTGCTAGATTCCCACATGGCTGACTGCCGTTCTAGTCCTGGACCCGGCAGCTTGAAGATCGCACTGGGTGCGTGTGTGTGCATACCCCAAATCCCAGAAGCAGAATGGAGGAGAAGGGATTACAGCGTGGCCATCCCCTCTGGGGTGGTGACTTCTCACTTTCCCCCTCACTGTCTCTCCCGGTCTCTCTCCTGTGAGCACATGTGCCCTGTGGTAAAACCTTAATTAAAAAAAAAGAGTGCCTGTTTCCTTACCAATACTTGGAATGACCTCATTTATTTGTTTTTGCAACTTGAAAGGATGTGAAATGAAAAGTCACCATGAAAAGTTTACTTCTTGACTGCCGAGGGTGAGAACCATTTCCTCTATAGGCATTTGTTCAGATTTCTTCCCCTCTTGACTTGTCTTTTTTTCCTGTGGATCCCTCCAGAATTCCTTACTGCTTTGGAAGCATTCTTTTATGTGTTCTGCCTTGTTGAGAGTTGCAGGTATCTTCTCCTAAGGTTTGGCTTTTATTCTTTTTTTTAAAGAATTATTTATTTATATTTGTTATTTTTAATTTTATTAGAGAGAGAGAGAGAGAGAGACAAAGTGAGAAAGCAAGCCGCCAGGTCCGGGACTTGAACTGCAGTTGACCATGTGGGAGTCCAGCACCTTAACCACCACACCACCTGCCAGCCCTGGGTTTGTCTTTTTTAATGACAAATTCGTGAATTTGATTTGTGGTTTTTATATCTTTTTTGGAAGACGATAGATTGCGTTTTGCTCTCTTAAAAGTTTAAAAATTTTCCTTTGATCTCTCAGTTCATTAGTCCACCTGGTTATTTTTGCCCTGAGTGAGGCTGCAGGCTAAATATATCTCTTACTTATGGGTAGCAGCTGTCCAGCCCACCCTGCCCTGGCCTGCCGGCTTGTCTTCCTCTGCTGTCCATAGACACCCACGCGCCTCCAGGTCTGCTGGTCCCTCTGTGCCCTGTACTTTAGTCACCGTTGCTCTGTAGGCAGTATTGGTGTCGACAAGACTAAGCTCCCTTCACCGTTTAAATTCGGAACTCCTGCTCTTTTTATTCCAGAGATTTTTTGCCATGGAGCGTGTGCGCTTGTGAAGGTATGGGGGCAGACAGAGAGGCAGAGGTAGTGAGAGGGGAAGTGAGAAATCACCCCCTGGGGGAGTGGCCATACTTCAGTCCCTCCTCTGTTCTCTTCCTGGGATCTTGGGCACACGTGCCAGGGGTGAT